TCTTTGTTTATAGGCTGCGGCCGCTGCCGAGGCGTCACCGAAGTAACTGAGGCAAGTCACACCCCTGCCCCAGAGCCGCCCCGCTCTCTCTTCCCATCCCTCCATCCCTCCATCCCTCCATCCCGCTCCCACCCTGGCCTCGCTCCGCCGCCATCCTCCATCCCCGTCCTGCCCGCTGGCGTTGGCAGCCGGTGGCTCTGCCTCCTCCATCTGCCGCCGCTCCTCCTGCCCTCCCACCCCCTCTCGCCCCATTTCCATCCCCCTCTCGCCCCATTTCTGTTTCACTCCTTGCTCCGTTTCCATCCCCTTCCTCGCTCCATTGCTGCCCCCCCTCACCCCATTTCCATCCCCTCTTGCCCTTTTTCCATCCCCCTCCTCATTCTATTTCTGTTCCACTCTCACCCCACTTGTCCCATTCATCACCCAATTTCCTGTCCCCTCCTCATCCCATTTCTGCTCTCCCTTGCCCCATTTCAACCCATCCTTTCCCTATTTTCACTTCTTGTCCTGTTTCCATTCCCCCACTTTGCATTTCCATCCCAGTTTCACTGTATTTCCATCCATCTCATCCCCTTTCCATCCCATTTCTCACTCCATTTTCATTCTCTCCTTTCTCCATTTCCACCTCTCTCCTTGTTCAAATTTATTTCCCCTCTTGTCCCATATCCATCCCCTTCCTTGCCCCATATCTGTCCCCCCTTCACTCCATTCGTGTCCACATTCTTCCCCCATTTTTGTTCTTCTCTGCACCCCATTTCTGTCCTCTTCCTACCTCCATATCCACCCTTCTCCTCATCCCATTTCTTTTGCCCCTTGCCCCATTCCCATCTGCCTCCTCACCCCATTTCTGTCCCTTTCTGTATCCCATTCCCACCTTGTCCTTTCCCCATTGTTGCCCCATTTCCATTCTCCTTCTCTCTGTATTTCCAACTCTCACCCCGTTTCTGTCCTCTTCCTCCCACCATTTCCACCCCTCTCCTCGCCCCATTTTTACCTCCCTCCTAATCCTGTTTTCCTTCTCTTCCTTGCCCCCTTCCCATCATTTCCTCACCCCTCTTCCACCTGCCATCCCTCCATCTCCTTCTCACCCTGCCTCTGTTCATGCCAGTATCTTCTACCAGCCTCCATCCCCATCTCCTCCTCCTCTTCCACTGCCTCCATCCTCTCTCTCTCTCTCTTTCCTCCCTCCTGACTTGCACTCGGCCTGTCTGGTCCCTGGAGCCCCACAGCAGCAGCTCCTCTGTCTCCCTGACTCTCGCTCTCCTCCGGTGCCGACACACGGTCTCCGCAGTCAGACCCCTCTAGACTCCGCTGGTTGTGCGTCCGTCCGTCCGTCCGGAATCCCGGAATGCCCCCTCCCTGCGTCCGGCCGCCTCCCCGCCCGCGGGGTGGGGGATGCTGCCTGATGCCCGCCGCTGCCTCTCCCCGCAGCGCCCGAGGCCCCCGTCATCGACACGCAGCGCACCTACACCTACGACCAGATCTTCCTGTGCTGGCGGCTGCCGCAGCACTCGCCGCCCGCCTGGCACTACACCGTGGAGTTCCGCAAGACCGACGCCAAGGCCAAGGGGCTGAAGCTGTGGCAGCGGCGGGAGGAGGTGCGGGGCACCTGCGCCCTCGTTGAGTACCTGGACACCGACAGCGTCTACGTGCTCCGGGTGAAGGGCTACAACAAGGCGGGCTTTGGGGACTACAGTGAGGACATCTACCTGCACACGCCGCCCGCCCCAGGTGAGAGGGATGGGTGCTTGGATCACCCCGGAGCGCCCCACTGTGCTGTCCCGCTCAAATTCCTCCTCCTCCTCCTCCTCTCCTCCCCACAGTCCTCAACTTCTTCTTGGACAACCGCTGGGGCTTCAACCGGGACCGGCTGGCCATCAGCAAGGACCAGCGCGCGGTGCGCAGCGTCCCCGGCATCCCCATGCTGTTCGCCGCCGAACGCCTGATGACCAGCTGCCACCTGTCCATCGACCTGGTCATCGGCGATGTGGCCATCACCCAGGGCAAGAGCTACTGGGCCTGCTGCGTGGACCCCAGCTCCTACCTGGTGAAGGTGGGCGTGGGGCTGGAGAGCAAACTGCAGGAGTGGTTCCAGGTGCCGCAGGACGTGGTGAGCCCCAGGTGAGCGGGGTGGTTTGGGGGGTCCAGGGGGTCCTCTGCCTGTTCCTACCTCCCCAGAGGGCACTGGGGTGTGGGGGGATCTCCAGGCTGTCCCGTGGGCGTTGGCATCAGGACTCACAAGTCCCCCCTGTGCAGGTATGACCCCGACAGCGGCCACGACAGTGGGGCAGAGGACACGACGGTGGAGGCACCTCCTCCCTACGCCTTCCTCACCATCGGCATGGGCAAGATCCTGCTGTCGCACGGCTCGGCCCTCACGTCCCGCGACCCCAACGGCTGCACCGTGCCCTTACCCCCACGCATCGGCATCTGCCTGGACTATGAGCAGGGCAAGGTGAGCTTCTACGATGCCGTCTCCTTCCGCGAGCT